CACGTATAATTATATTATAACCATTATTCACCATGAATTATCAATAAATTATAGAATACAAGTATTACACGTAAGATGAAAGTAGTTCACACGTATAATTATATTATAACCATTATTCACCATGAATTATCAATAAAGAATAGAATACAAGTATTACATGTAAGATGAAAGTAGTTCACACGTATTATTATATTATAACCATTATTCACCATGAATTATTAATAAAAAATAGAATACAAGTATTACATGTAAGATGAAAGTAGTTCACACGTATAATTATATTATAACCATTATTCACCATGAATTATTAATAAAGAATAGAATACAAGTATTACATGTAAGATGAAAGTAGTTCACACGTATTATTATATTATAACCATTATTCACCATGAATTATAAATAAATAAATCCTTAAACTAGTCTTTCACCACAAGACATGTTTGTTTGCTTTTTGGAATGTTTAATAGTCTAGATTTACAAAATAATTCTCCAGCTCAGAAAGAAACTTCATGTCTGATCTTCAACACTAGAGCCTATCGGCTTCCTGCAAGGCAAATTTCTGGTAGGCTCATTATGAGTCTGGCAATGGGGCAATCTTAATAGCAGTTTCAAACATCAGATTAATAAAAACTCTTCTTGAATTTGAGTTTGTACAATAAACTCAAGCCTATTACAATAATATATATTAAGTAATACTTACAGCAACAAACAGACTTGCTAATGTTCCCACAATTAGATTTAGCAGACGGCCCTGAAAAACATAAAATATCAACTTATCAATTTTACAAATAAACAGAATGACACACACATTTACTAACACTTTTCTACATAGTTATACACTCACTGAAAGATGTGTTAAAAGGCTTAACACAATACTAGGACACACCAAAAGTCTATAACCATCTTCAGTATTAAACCAGATATATCTAAATGCAACATCATTACATATATAGAGAGAAAATTACATTATGTAAAATACATTTTATACAACCTTTTGACATGACGTCATATATATTTTATATAACCTTTTTTTTTAAGGAGGTTTGTTAAAATGCCATGCAAATTGAGGAGTTGTAAGACGTTTATAATCAGGAACCAAAAACTCACCCTTCTAGTAGATTCTCCAAAAAGAGGCCTATCAGGTATATGGTTATTATAGAGTGGAGCCTGCTCTGCAGGGGAGGGTGCAGATGAAGGATTCATGCCTGGAAACAAAAATCAGTGGATTCCATGTGAATTCTGAACTGTTTATCAACATACTGCATCATATAAATATAGCAGATTCATAACCTATGATTTACTGTTTTGTAAAAAATATGTTAAACCTTCAGTATGTCTGTACTGTTGTACACCCAATCAAATAGGAACCTTCAAAATTAACAAGTTGGAGATAATGAAACAGCACTGTTAATAATGAAGATCTAACTGCATGGTCAACAAATAAAAGTACAAGATAATGTACAGTTGAAGTGGCATAATCTTAGGTATCGACATGGAACATTTATAACTGGGTGATTAATTGACATAACTGATTACAAGGATTAGTCATGTAGAATAATCAATTAGTCAAAACTATTAATAAATCAATTAATGTCACAAGTATGTTCAACTAATCAAAATTAGTGTGTCTAATTATGATTCCTCATTAATTTTGATTAGTTCTAGGTTGTTCAGCTCAATCAGTTTCACAACTCATGAAAATAATCAACTTATTGAAATGAATGTTTCTCTTTGTTACTGTTTTTGATTATTCTAACTATCCAAGTCTCACATGAAAATAACTGATTAGCTGAATGTTTTCATAAAGTTAACTTTTAAAAACATGGTTTTAAACACATGCTTTCTGAAAATATGTCTTTAAATATAACATCTACTTTTGTACACGTTATTTACTTATTTTCATATACAACTCATTAAATATGAAAGATGGTGAAGCAATAGGCCTAAAACATGTGATAAAAAGCATGTAAACTGTATATGTCCTTCCCCTATTTCCTCTTAACTTGTCCAATTTGGCTTCTGATGTTCAAACTGTTACATTAGAAAATAACTATTTTGATATATGTAAAAATGTAAGTGTTACAGTTGAAAAGTTTTAAAAGCAATGTCATCTACAACGTCTAATGCCTCACACAAGAACATTAAACATATACACAATGGTATATGGGATACCTTTAAACAATAGAAAATGGGATACCTTTAAAGCTATACTTTAAGCTAGTCCATTGTTGAACATTAGGAAAAATGAAATTTTTATTCACATATAAGCCACCAGTTTCAACAAAAACATATATAGAGATGTGCCTGGATATTTGTTAATTGTGTGACAAACTCTATGTCTTTATTGTGCATAATATATTCCACATTTTTCATATTTATTCACTTTCTCTGCTCAGCCATAGATAAATAATTTATCAATTCATGCAGACTGATATGCACATGCATAAGTAACCTCTATCAATTCTAAAATTTAAATACATTGTTGAATGTTGATTTAAATACTAAAACCTTCTTTACCATTAAACTTGTGTACTTGAGAATGATCATACCTGGGATCGAAAAGTCATAACTTGTAATAACAAATAATCTTCCTTACTGTAAAAGCTGTAACATGTAATAAAGTAATAGTTAATCAGTAGGTAAACTCAAAACAAAAACCATTAAAGTAATACTGTGTTTTACCATTAACTGGCTTAAAAGATTTACCTATGTCATGTATTTTCACTCATCTTGATCTACTGTTGGAGAAAAGATTAAGAATACTTCATCCAAGTTCACTTTCTAAACAATCTGTTTCTGAATTTTGCATCACAGAAAATTAGGAATCAAAAAGGCTTAAACTAACCTAGTTTCAAATTTCTTTTCAAAAGTAAATATTTGTAATAGAAAATGAAAAAGGACTATTTAATGTTAAAACTACTACTATAATATGGATGTACATTTCAATAACTTTAATAACATTTCATGTTAAACTTTGGATGTACACGAGTGCTTTCAATAACTTTAATAATAGTTTCTTATCATATCTACTTTCAATTTACATGTAGCATTTATTCAATTAATATCATTTTAACATCCAATGTCTGGACAAGTCTCCTCGGTAAAACTACATTATGATGGACATTCCTTAATGTTAAATGTTTTATCACTTTCAGACTACACATACATGTGTTAATTAACTCAATTCTAGAAAGTCACATGATATTTATGTGTTACTGTTAATGATGGGAAACTAGTACAATTTAAGTTTTGTGATGTTCAGTAAATGAATTGAACCTTGTTGAGTTACTGATTTAACCCCCGAGAACCTCAGCAGAGTGTTGAAAAGGTAAGCCATATACAAGGGTTCTGTCCAAGTTAGCTGACACTGAGGCATTATGAAAGGAAAAATGTTTCCAGTTTTAACTCTGAAGCATTAATAGTTTCATCTTTAAAAGTTCTTACCATTCACAGTATTAATAATAATTTTAAGTTGTAAACATATTTTTAATTAATATTTTTAAATAGATTTTATGATTTCATTTCAAACCACTAAAAGCAGAATTGACTGAAAACAACTTGACAACAAAGAATAACATGTATTGTCTATAAATCTGATAATTCAGTACTGTACATTAAAGAGGCTGTTTTAACAAGAAGTTCCAATGAAGTATTATTATAACAAAAGATACTTTATTTGTTAAAACATTGTTTTTGTAATATTTACAAAACTGTTAGTTCCATATATTAATTGAACTTTAAAAATCTTAAGGTTATAAATTTCCAACAGACCTTCCCTTAACCTTGGCTTATTAACGTGATTGAATTAAATTTTTCACAAATAATAAAAACATATAAAAGATGTCAGAAATTTAGTTGAACATATAAGGTATCTTCTTTGCCATTATTCTAACCAATGCCCAAATTATGAAGCATGTTACTTATTCCTTTCTCTCCAAGTCATTAAGTGGATTAAGCCTCGACTGATAATAATTAACATTGGCTAAAAACAAATTAGTTAATATTTCACAATTTTCTTGTAATTTTACATAATTAACAAATGTATTATAGACATTCTCTGCCAGCAAGAACCTGTTAAAAATAAAAACTACAAAAATATAGCAAGGTTTGATCTGAACAATATTTAATTGAAACTAAAGCAAGTACCATCTGTCAGCTTTAGTGCTAGAACTTAGAAGTTACAAATTTTGGAAGACAAGGTACATGCTTGTTCACTGCCAGAATTACTTCTCTCTTTAAAAATGATTTAAAAAACATTTTGTTGGATATTTTAAGAAGGACCTTAATGAGCCAATCAGAATTCTGTCACCACTAAGTTTTTTTCTATTTTCAGTAGTCTTAATATCAATACATCTTTGTAAAAATTCCCAAGTTTTTTTATGCTAATAATTAATATACAAAATTTTAAGAATGATTGATTTTCAGTGTCCAAATACACACAATACAAACATATATTTGATGACCTATACACATTTACAGCTTACAAGTTGCATTACAATGACAGCTGATTGGGAGACAAAAAAAGTTTAGCTTTTCTTTACACTATATTAACTTTAAGATTAAAACTCTGAACAAATTTTCGTTAATTTTTTATTATTCTTAAAACTGCTTTTTTATTTCAATGCAGTTCAAAAGCTCAGGTTAAATACAATTAAATTTACAATAGCCTGAATAGGTTTACATCTTGAACTTTGAAAATACTTCCTAAATTTCACTTCATTCTTCCTCCTTTCATTCATATTATTCATATCACGTACTAATCAGTGTATGTCAGATGGTCACCATGCTTGTGTCAGTGATGCTAAACAGTACTAGTAGTAATCAATGTAACTTGTAAGTTAACAAGTAGTACTACTGGGCCTAATTGATCATTGTAATTACCTTAGGCTTAACCGAAATCACTTGCACAAGCGGTAAAGCACTAAATTAAAAACGATTAAACCGTAATATTAATGTTATTAATATATGATATTTATAATAACAAAATAATAAATCCGATATTGACAGATCCAATGAATAAAGGACATTCTTACTGTTTATCTGCAATACTTCAGAAAATGCTTGCAAGTAAATTAACCGTAACAGGCTTAACAGACAATTCACATACTCTGACTACGTTAATTTAAAATGTTAAATTTAAGTTATTGTGATAACTATCTGTGGCAGACGAACTATCATCATGTGACCAGTGTATGATACAGTGACAGTACCATCTAGTGGTATAATATACAATCACTTAATTTCGAAAATAAAAATAAATAAATGAGAATACAATACGGAGATCACCCGACACTGTGCCTTTAGATTTTGTTTTTAATTTTTACAGTTTGAACATGTCTGTAAAACATTTCAGTTTGGCAGAATTCAGTAGCAAAACTAACTTCAATTACTAATAGCCAATGAGCTCTAGATGTTGATACATTACCGCTTCTTTTTTTTTTCTTTCTTGTTTTGTATCCAAACTATATTAATTTCTTTTTTGAAATTGGTGTATCTAAAACACCAGGGTCAAATAAACCAATAGTTATTATGGTTTCAACTGGAATTTGTCCTAAACTTTACATTTTCTTTCAGTTTTTCTTTCGCTTTGCTAGTGTTTCGTCCTCCACTAAGGAGTACGAACCCTTACAACCATTCTGTGAAAATTAAATATAGTGTGTTTATTTAGTGTTTTCTCATAATCGTATCCGTATATAACATAAACTAGCAATAGTTGTTCTCCTGTTACTTCATTATATTAGCAAATGACGATAACTTAGACTCACCCCTGATTCTTTCCCCTGTCATATTGAGAATTTAGATTTTTTTTTTAAAAATGTTGAGCTTAATCAACAACTCTCATAATAATAAAAACATATAACAT